CCATGTCCGAATATATCGCCCCATGCTAGTAACCACAAAATGACCAGTGTCCGAATATATCGTCCCATGCTAGTAACCACAAAATGACGCATGTCCGAATATATCGTCCCATGCTAGTAACCACAAAATGGCCCATGTCCGAATATTTGGTCCCATGCTAGTAATTACAAAATGATCCTTGTCCGAATATATCGTCTCATGCTAGTAACCACAAAATGACGCATGTCCGAATATATCGTCCCATGCTAGTAACCACAAAATGGCCCATGTCCGAATATTTGGTCCCATGCTAGTAATTACAATTGACCCATGTCCGAATATTCCAGTCCCGTGTTTGTGTCAAGCGATGGTTGGATCTACTGGATACCCGGGTCTCTGTTTGAAACCTATTGTGAATTGGACCTAACCGACTACCCATTCGACCACCAGACCTGCACCATGCAAGTAAGATGAAATGTTTAGCACTTATTTGCCTTTAGTCGGCTGTTTAGACATTGTTTTTTTGAGAATTATTATTTGTTTGTACAACTAAACTGGTGTCAGTGATCAATATTTATATGACAATGTAAAAACAATCCCCCTCTCCCCCGCCATCCAACCCTAAACTTTATTGTCTTACCCACTATAAAATTACTTTTCCATTTTTCAACTCACGTTGGAGCGTAGGCCATTTTAAAACAGTCTTCCTTGAGTTTCTTTCCGTTGATATTTTTTTTTTAATTTCTATCCAGCTCATTCCAATAAGTGTCGTATCGTTATTATTTTCTCTAAGCCACATATTTTTGGGTCTCCCCACTTTTATCTTATCCTTATGGATTCCATTATATACTTTGTCTGGTAATAGGGCTTGTAAGTCTCGTTCGCTCTCACTTAAAATTAAAGTCTCATTAGCCAGGGAGAGATATACATTTAGAATTAAATTATTTTTTGTGAACATGGCGGCTATTTGTTTCTAGACATCGCTTCAAGATTTTAAAATACCAAGAGCAGTGGCGTAGCGAGGTCGGGTGTCACCCGGTGCGGCACTTAATGGTGTCACCCCCAGAGGCGTAGCGACCCTTCCCGGGGACGGATTTTCGATTAGCACCCCCCTCAAAGTTTCGATTTGCACCCCCCCCCCCTCAAACTTTCGATTTGCACACCCCTCAAGTTTTCGATTTGCAAACCCCCCCCCCTCAAACTTTCGATTTGCACTCCCCCCCCCCTCAAGTTTTTCTCTATATATTTTGCTATTTTTTGCCTTGGTGTCATCCCCCTAAATGGTGTCACCCGGTGCAGTCCGCACCCCCCCCCCCCCGTCGCTACGCCTCTGACCAAGAATACCTTAAATGCTACAATTATAAACATTTTACTATTAATAAAATCAAATTAAGTACGGGTAGACCTAGGTAATTAATAATATTTTGTTAATATTCAAATTTCGTTTAGGACACCTTGTAACGGATTCGAATAAATAATAACAAACTTACGCTCCTTTAAAAAAAATCACAATTTTACGTTGGCTATATTTTTCTGTAAACTAGCCTTCTGTAAACCAGTCTTATCATTATTATTGTTTACAACTTTAAATAACTTCTACAATAGCAGAAGTAACTTTTCTATTTATATGTTTTACTGATTAAATACAAAATATGGTTTGACAAATACTAGCTGGCAAGTACGAAACCAAGAAGTTGGTGACATACTTACAAGCCCTATACTATCTGAAGGTTTCCTTAACATATGGCTTATCGATAACAACCCCCCCCCCCCCCCACACACACACACCGATTTCTTGCTTCAGTGGTATTAATCCTGGTTGTCCTACTCTGCTGTGTTAGCTATTCTGTCAAACACATTTAGATACAATATTCACCGTAAGCAGGCGGTTATAAGAACTTGTGTTAAGAGAGAGACATTGTTTTTCAAGTTAACACACCCCCCCCCACCCACAACTTAGATTCAAACAATATCAACAATGTTTAAGTGGTTGGTAAGTACAAGATGTAAATTGCCTTTTCCCACCTTACAGGAAAGTAGAATTTAGTTGTTTAAGTGACCTCGGCTTATGATGAGACTGTGAGGACAGCACAAGGCGCAGCTGCCTTTAATTTTTATAATGTGATTCAGTATCCAACGTGGATGTGTTGAATTAGGGACAACGTTTGGACTAGGGTCAAGTATACGAAGTCCAGACTTCCAGTTAGCAGATGAACACTCTAACTTTCGACCACACCATCCAAAAGAGTTCAAGATTCTGTTAATAATGTCTTTATCCTGTAGATTCTGTGTGTTTGTAAATGATTGTTAATGGTTTAACTTGACAGTTTGTTGCCATGACGTTGTCCTCTGACGAGATGAGTTTTAAAACAATGTCCACCGACGAGTGGGAACTACTGGACACTAGCATGAACACGTCCATTCTCAACACAGGATCTCTGTACATGTCTTCCATCGAGGTGTGTCATTGTGTTGATAAATTACTCGTGTTGGTGGTTACCTAATATAAAAATAATGTTGAATGAGACGATACTGCGATTTATTTTACTTAAGATTTAAATAACAGACAAACAGCTCAACATGTAGCTTTCTTTTCGTCTAAACATATAATTCAATAAAAAAAAAGATCAAATTCCTAACTTAAACAATATAAATATGTTAATTTAAATTTGTAATGCTTAAATAAATGTCGATTCGATTTCTTATATTATTATTATAATACTCCTGGACGGTTTAGTTTTTAGAGACACCTAACACCCTTATCAAATTTGGTGACCTAAGTCAAAACAAACTACTCCCTCATGTTACCACCTCGCTGATCTTTCAATTGTTCCATGGGGCTATTTTCGTCGGCCCCAATTAAAACATTGATTGAATTACACGTTTAATCGCACGGGTTCTTACACTAAGCCCTCGCACACTGAACCGTGGATCAAACAGGGCAAAAAGTTTTGTTTTTATACTAGTCAAAAACTGTTTTGCCACACGTTTGAACGCATGATTTCCTGTGTGGCGCCTCGTGATCGAAATCAAAGACCGGATAATCACCCTTTGTGTTCAGGCTGGACTTGTCTAATCTGGTCTTCTGGCTACACAGTTGCTACACGAACTAACCGGGTCATAATAATGGATTCGTTCAACACAGAGAAGAATAGATACTTTATACACAGCAAAGCCAATGTGGTGTCTAAGTAATAACTAAGTATTGATTTATGTTCCTATTAGCTTCGGTTGCACGACCGTTAACATAAAACGTAGACATTTTCCCAGTTACAGCTTAGAAAATCAAAATATTATTACCTACGATTAAATACGTTAGACAAGAAAACAATCAGTGGCGTAGGCAGGGGGGGGTTAGGGGGGGGTCATAACCCCCCCCCCCCCCCATAGACCCCTCGGTATATAGAAAAAGTATGAGGGGGGGTGCAAATCGAAAGTTTGAGGGGGGGGGTGCAAATCAAAAGTTTGAGGGGTGGTGCAAATCGAAAGTTTGAGGTGGGGGGGGTGCAAAACGAAAGTTTGTCCCCGGGTAAAAATTGGAACCCCCCCTCCCCCTTGAGACGATCCTGGCTACGCCACTGAAAACAATAGATATGTCAGACACAGCACGGTCATTGTATGAGTTTCGATTTCTGTCCATACTAGCTTCCGTAATAAAATCTTTATCATGAAAGTGTATCTTCTTTCTACTCTTACGTTTAGAAAATCAAAATAGTATCATGTAGGGCCTACCTTAGATTAGTGCGTGTATTCTAAATAAACTTAAAATTGACTTAAAATAATTTTCTGTATGTATAAACATGTAGAAAATTGATTGAAACATGTTGATTGAGTTGATTTATAACAGTAAATTACAATTCAACAGATGAAGATTTTGATGAAGAGAAGACCAAATTTTCTTCTAATAAACATCATACTCCCAGTTGTGTTTCTGTCATTTCTCAATCTTCTGGTATTTTTTATACCAGTCAACTCAGGGGAAAAAATTGGATACGGTAAAATGTTGAGATTTTTTATTTATTTTTTGGATTTAATGGTCTAGTCTAGTTGTTTGAACAGATCAGTCATGGCCTGCTTGTAGCGAGAATGTTTTTAAAATGAAAAATCGTCTACTCATTGTAATCAGAATTCATAATGTAATGAAAGCCATTAATATGTTATAAATTCCTGATACTTATCACTGTATTATTTTAATTCTCAAGTTTCTATCAATATTTAAAAGCGTATTCAAAACTTCTACAATTGATGAAAGCCGTTATAAATTATTTAACTTTGAATACTTTTAGATTGATCAGGGTGCAACTTTCTGAAAGTGATGGTAATAAAAATCTATAATAATTCTCTACGTGGGGACCATACAACTTTTAAACAATTTGAAACCAAGTTTTCCCCTGTCTATTCATTGTCGTCTGTAAACTGTCGTCACAGACGGCCACTTACATGGAAGGGGGGTGGGGGAAGGGAGGGGGGTGGTGAACAGGGGGAGGAGAGAGGGGGAGAAAGGGGGAAGAAAGGGTAGTGTCGAATTCACAAATTAGGAATTACTGAGAAGTAGCAAATAAAACAACTAAATAGCGGCGTATGCTTACGGCGCGGGTCAGCTCGTATATTATGTTCTCTGTTATTGAAGGCTCTGATGTAACACTTGAACACAATACTTCCAGGCATCACAGTCCTACTGGCACTGTCCGTCTACATGAGTATCGTCAGCAACATGTTGCCCAGCTCTTCCTCAACTACTCCCAGACTTACCCTCTACCTCTTCATCTTACTTATCATCTCTATGTTGACCGTCATCGATAGTATCATCATCGTCTTTATAAACAACCTGAAAGAGGTAAGGTTTAGAAACTTATATATATATATATATATATATATATATATATATATATATATATATATATATATATATATATATGTATATATATATATATTTATTTATTTATTTATTTACTTATTTATAATTGTTATATAATAAAAACTGTCATTGTTTTACTAATTGATACTTTCCGTCATTCTAGAAAGAAGTAGCGCATCTGAAAGCAAAGGCAAATTTCAAATCTGCTATGAAGAAAGTGACCAACTTAAAAAAAGCCACTACCCGAGTGGAAACCGTTACAAACCCACAAGGGAAACAATCACTGACAGATGTCTTGTCTAAAATTCAGGATTTTAAATTGCAAATTGAAGAACCTGAAGATGAAGAAACCAAGGACCAGAATCCACAAAAACCCAAGGGAAATAAATACAAGTTAATCGGAAAACATATTGACCTGATTTCCTTTCTCGTGTTTTTCATCATTTGGTTGGGTGTGACTCTTGGATTCTTGTTTAGTATTGCTTTTCCGAATGTTGTAAAAACACATTTTTCTATGAAATAAATATTCATTAGTTTGCTTTTAAAAAATAATTTTTTGTCTTGCATTATATTGTTTTAAATAACGTACATTGTGGGATTACCTTGTCTAAAAATTAATTAGCTTTTTAGTATTTCATAGGAATAGTTCTATTGCTTGAGTCTAGAAAAATTTTTTAAATTAACTGCCAAAAAATCACTTAAGAAGACATACAGCCTTCAATGTGCAGAGAATGAAAATTTAAATATTTAATTTAATTTAATGGTGATTTAATGTTCTTTGAAGAGTAGGGAGAGGTCTTGGTTTAGCTAAAAATATTTTTAAAAAACCTGAAATTATAGAAAGTATTTTCGAGTGCGGTTGTGTATGGGGTGAAGAGGTAGGATATTGGCTTTTAACTAGAGCTGAAATACATGTAGGATTAAAGGAAATAAATAATATTATAAACTGCATGGGTGATATGTAGAGTAAAATGAAACATCTCAAATCTAATATTCTTGAAGTTAGTCATGATTTTGAAATATTAAAAATTATCGCAGTTATCCGCCTTTAAACTTATTGATTTACTTAGATCAATAAATCGGGAGTTATCTCCCCTGGACTAGATATAATCTAACTTTTTTTCTCCTTCTATCTGGTAGCTTACTATAAGCCCAAACTAAAAACCTCATGTGGTCACTGGTCATGCCTGTCTTCCTGTATAGATGCAAGACATGGACCCTCAACTCAGATAAAAATCCTTGCCCTGGAAATCTGGAAAAAAAATGTCTAAGCAGACTTCCATTACCTCATACAGAGATAACATATCTAATTGGGAATTTCGTGAAAGTAGTTTGTTCTTTGCTCGACAAAGGCTGTGGAAGCAAATCCAAAAAGAAAAGTGGGCTGAAATCGGAGTCAATGGCCTCAATGGCGTAAAACCAGTTGACATGTATAATTAATCATGTTGGAGGGGATCTCTTCCAACACTAAAATTAAGAATGAAGAAAAAGTTTTATTTTATTTCTAGTGAATTTAAAAGCTAATTATTTTAATAATTTTTTTTTTCTTATTAGCTTCTAATTGAATTACATGTTCTGTTTATTTTTGTTTGTGGATTGTGTCACGTTTTTTACCAAATTTTAACCTCTATTTAATTCAAACTTTCAAGATACATCAAATCTCTGATGAGTATGCAAGAATGTATAATTTTCAGCCTAATTTGCAATTAGGTTAAACGTTAAGATTTAACTAAACTATAACTAAAGTCATTAATAAAACAAGTGGTTTGAGGGGGGGGGGGCTAACAAAATTAAGTACCAGCTATCAGACATACAGCTAAATGACGACGGTGATCTGTTTGTCACGGCTGATTGATTTCCTCCCCGAGGGTCGAACATGGACCTGGGTGTAGGAGATCAGCGTCTCTTAGGGACTGCGAACAACTCATGGGATTTAAAAGCAAATATTGTTACTCGTAGCCTATGCGGTGTCAAATTCATTTAGAAAGACTTGCTAAAATGTGGTAAATAAAACAAGTATAAAAACATTTTGTTAAAATAAACTTTTGAATGCAGTATAAAAACATTTTGTTAAAATAAACTAGAAATAAGAAAATAAAACGAACTTGCTTTCTTTAATAAACAATTTGGTCATTACAGTATGAAAGAGATCTCAGGGCCGAATAAAGGTTTATTAAACAAAGCAAAGATTGTGCAGATGATTATATTTACGGATCGCTAGATATTGATCGGGTTTTTAAAAGAAATATTTTTATTTGTTCTTACACAGATGCCTAATAATTGTTTCTAAAAACGAAATATTGACTTACTTATTAAGTTTCCACATTTATATTTATTAAAATATGAAACATAAAACAAAAATAAAGTTGCTTTTTTAAACATTTAAATGCAATGAAAATAATAAAAATAAACTTGTTTTTTTTTTTTTGAACAAATGCAATGATATTATGATTTATTACCTATTTTAGCCAAAAATTATTTTGTATTTTTAAACAAAAGCAGTTTTTTCTCCTTTTTTTTTGTGTGCATTTAAAAGCTTTTTCTTTCAAGCTTTAAAAAAATTAATTTATAAGAACATATGAACTCAATGCGTACACTATTTTTACCCCCGAATCATTTGTTCTGTGTCGGCCCAATCAGCGACACACATGAATGAACAATCATAGACTGGCGTGGGGCGTAGATCAACACTGACATTGATAAGTCGGTAACCACTGAGGCAGAACAATAACAGCCACACTTAGATATGGTACTGACAATTGTTCAGTGTATCTAGCTTAGCTGTATCAATAGTCGTGATGTTTACTACAAAACGAATCAACACTATCGTTATTGTGTTGATATTTCTCCTGCAAATTAGTAGAACTCTAGGACAGGAGTATTCGGCAACTCTGGATTTATTTAATGAAAAACTGAGCAGCTCGAATTATAATCCTAAAGTGAGACCCATACTGAAACAGTCAGCTGTTCTAGAAGTTCAAGTGGGATTCGAACTCGTGTCTATAGTTGAAGTCGATGACATCCAGCAGAGTTTTACCTGCAATGGTTTCCTTGCTTTCTACTGGAGAGATGAGGTATTTTTAGTTCGTAATTGAAATTTAATACGTTAATAAAAAGCAGATAATACAATTATATAGTTATATTTTAGAGAATAATAGTGACAAAGTGTCCATTGGCCATAATTCCATTAGTTTAAGTCGTGTTTGCTATAGCCTAAGGAACGATACGTTTGAAAATAATGAAACTTGAGCTAATTATTGTTTTATTGTAACTATTGACATACTATTATGTCTCCAAAAAATAAAAAATTAAAAGTAAACAGCAGCTAAAAGAACAAGAATTGTATGAATCCGATATATTAACGGTTTTTTAAAATGAAGTTAAATTAAAACGGCGTTTCCATTTTTTTCTAAATTATTATTAGCTTCCGCCAATACAGAGCTCTCTTCGCATATTCTATTGTCGCCGATGATTCATAACATTTGATTTTTCACGGGCTAATCAAAGACATTTTATAGTTTCCTACTATCGAGCGCGTTGCTGCAATCTAGTCGTATATACGAAAATGTTCATCAACACGTTACCACTCGTCTATTTTTTAGAAGTTTGACCATGTTTTCTAAAACGGATTTATCTAAGTGTAAACATCGCCGGCCCCATACAAAATCTTAGAAGTTAGTCCGCGTGTTTGTCCACACTACGGGGTCGGCGTGGTCGAGTCGGTAAAGCTCATGGTTGATAAATTCGAAAAAGTCTCGAGTTCAAACCCTCTGGCAGATATGGCTCGATCCCTCCCAACACTAAAAATTAAGAACGAAGAAGAAGAAGAAGAAGTCCACACTACCACCCCTGTGCTTGTTTTATGGATGCCTTAAGTGTACGTTAATCAAACTCTGTAATAGTGATGTAGAACATAGATCAGCGACCGCCGAGGTGTCAGGGTCGTCGAGGGCGCTTTAGTGAGATACCGGTTACACTACCGCAGGGCGCTGGTGCTTTAACTGGTTCGGTTTAGTCAATAAATGTAATGTCCGTAACAAAGGGTGCTTTATAAAACAAATGTAAGCGCCATAGTGATTACAATGGAGCCTAGTGTGCTCGATCTAACCCGACCACCGGGACGCCAACGGACACGAATGTAGTTCGCGATTATAGTAGCCCTGCATATCTAAAATAGAGGGCGCTCTTTAAAACGAACGTAAACGCTATATTTAATCAGTGGGAGTACGGGGAGACATTGTAGCATCCGAACGTCGGGGCGTCTGTACTTTGAACTTTGACCCAAAAATGCACCCTCCCTATGCGCCGATCCTCCAAAATTAAAATGTTAATTTCACACAAACCTTCCCAGGAAAATTCGCAAAAAACTTTCCAAAGATTTTGACGAATGCATGAAATGAGTAATAATGCATTCAAAACAGACAAGCAGACAGACGCGCACACACACACACACACACACACACACACACACATACATATATAGAGAGAGATAATGTATTCTCTCCGTTGATGTGTGAAACATTAATGTTTTCAAAATATAGTAGCGTTTTCAGATCATTCCAATTTTTTGTGTATCATTTTAGCCTTACTTCAATAGCTTGTGTTTTATGTTCCATATAGGCCTAGTGTACATTGTGTCAATGACTTTCGTGTTTAGATCCTGGTCTGGAACTCCAGCCAGTACGGTGGTCAGAAGGTCCTGCATCCGTTTCCTGAGGACATCTGGAGACCTCGTGTTGTCGTGATGAATACTTTAAAGGACAGAGATCCCTTCAAGGATGATTACAGGTGGGTGTGTGGTAGATAGCGGTAATGTAGGCGGGATGATAGTCAGATTAGGTATATATGTGGCTCATATTGAGATTGCAGTTGAGAACAAGTTTAACAAAATAATATTGAAATTTCCTTTTGGTTTATATTTTACATAAAATTTATTATAAAACTCTTAACCTGGAAAGAGTGGTAAAAATAAATTGAGAGCTATTTTATAAAGGCAGCTGCGAAAATGTTAGTAGGAATTACGAATTTTCATTTGTTTTAAAGAATAGATCAATTCTACTTCTTACCTTTTCACTAAATCTCTCAAAGGAGATAAAGTAAAGACTGCCAACACACTTCTACACATATTTGATTTGGGCAGCTCTATTTAGTTGAGCCATTGTAGGCCCCGCTTACTTCTACTGTCCAATCAATGTACCTCAGTGTATTGGCAAGTTTAGAACATCGCACCATGTAGATAGTGATTAATGCCGGATATGTCACCCCAATGTTAGTTACCAAACAATGATCGAGACTCTAGCGTTAGCAGTCTAGCGCTCCACCGCTAGGTTGCGCCATCCCATACCCCGTGTCATTAATCACAAAATGACCCATGTCCGAATATTTCGTCCCATGCTAGTAACCACAAAATGACCCATGTCCGAATATTTGGTCCCATGCTAGTAACCACAAAATGACCCATGTCCAAATATATCGTCCCATGTTAGTAACCACAAAATGACCCATGCATAGGACATCATTCCATGCTAGTAACCACAAAATGAACCATGTCCGAATATATCGTCCCATGCTAGTAACCACAAAATGACCCATGTCCGAATATTCCAGCCCTGTGTTTGTGTCAAGCGATGGTTGGATCTACTGGATACCTGGGTCTTTGTTTGCAACCTATTGTGAGCTGGACCTAACAGACTACCCATTCGACCACCAGACCTGCACAATACAAGTAAAGAGAAAAAAAAACATTGCTATTTGTTTCTTTGATTTAGCTAACTACATATTATTTTTGAAGATCCCTTAATTAATTTACAAATACTACATAACTGATAAACAGATTTACTAAATTGTAATTTCCAGCACTGCATTTCCCCCCCCCCCCCCCTCCATCTGTCTTCTTTTATCGTGCTTCCTACTCCCAAGCTCTACCAATTCACGTTCATATTAGAGCATAAAGTATTTTACAACTTAATACTTGTTGCCTGTTTTCTAAAAGTATGTACTATCCATCTCCGCCTTTTTTTTCACATTTCTTGCTCTATTGTGTTTTGTTCTGCTATTTGCCAATCTGATGTGTTAGACAGTTTGTTCGAACCACTTTTAATTTAACTGTTAGAAGCTAGGTGTAAAAGACCACCCTACCCTAACAAATACTTAGATGTTAAACTTCAAACAATGTTTAAGCAATAGGGCAGGTAAGTAGGTCAACAACCAGTTCTACGGCTCAATGAAACCTCCATGAGCGAAAGAACTCGTTGGTGACCTACTTACCAGCCCTATTGACTAAAGTCTTGAAGATTCTTTTGGACTATGTATTTTTGTTGTTGGCATCACCTGACAGTTTGTTGCCATGACGTTGTCCTCTGACGAGATGAGTTTTAAAACAATGTCCACCGACATGGGCTTGACCTTCTTCACCAAGAACGGCGAGTGGGAGCTACTGGACACTAGCATGAAAACGTCCATTCTCAACACAGGATCTCTGTACATGTCTTCCATCGAGGTGTGTCATTGTGTTGATAAAATACTCGTGTTGGTGGTTACCTGACAAAGACAAAATGTTCAAGGAGACGATAGTGTGAATCATTTTATTTAAAATTTAAGTATTAGAACAACTGTTTAATATGAAATCGCTTTATCTTTTAAACATATGAGTAAATGTATAACTAATAAATAAATAAGTCCATTCCAAAAAAATAAAATAAAATATTGCGCATTATGTTATTCATTTATTTTTTTAAAGCCAAACGAATTGAACCAGTTGTATTGCAATATTTTATATTGAGATACACATTATACGACAATTTAAATTTTCCCTCTTTTTTCAAACATTGAGACATAAAATAGACCCTCAGGCTACCACCCCCCCCCCCCCTGATCTTTCCATTGTGGCACGGAGCTATTTTCAACGACCCCAAATACAACCTTGACCAAGTAACACGTTTAACCGCATGATCTCCTTAGACGTGTGCTCTAAATCACAGACCGGATAATCACCTTTTTGGTTCTGGCACGACTTATCAAAGCTGTCCCCCTTCTCTAAGCGGTTAGCTACACGTAGTGATCGGGAAAAAAATAGATCCAGACAAGAATAGATACGTTAGACACAGCACCGTGAATGTATTGTCTAGGCATTGATTTCTGCCGATTCTAGCTTCCGTTGAACAATCATTAAATTTAACGTAACATTTTTTTTACATTCACACAATTAGAAAACGAAAATATTATTATGTACTTTAGATTATTGCATTGTATTTAAATTAATTAAAAATTAACTCATTTTTTTAAAATTGTAATGCTGTAAAAACAGGTGACGTTTGTGATGAAGAGAAGACCAAATTTTCTTCTAATAAACATCATACTCCCAGTTGTGTTTCTGTCATTTCTCAACCTTCTGGTGTTTTTTATACCAGTCAACTCAGGGGAGAAAGTCGGATACGGTAAAGTGTTGAGATTTATTTTTAGATTTAAAGGTCTAGTTGTTTAAAAAGATTAGTGATGGCCTGCTTGATGATAGAAATTTGTTAATAAAGTAAAAAGTCATTAGAATTTAAATATAACGTGTCTACAAATTGTTATTAAAATTTAAAACATAAATTAACTCCTGAAATACAATAAAACTTACTTAATCTTATCCCTGTATTGTTTAAATCTTAATTTCATGCTAATATATATATGAAGTTTGTGTGTGTGTGTGTGTGTGTTTTAAAAGCTTTTCAGATTTACTAACGACATGATACTTTTTTTTAAATCAAGTGCCTTTAGGTTTGATAAGGGAATCACTATTTAATCATAAATATATCATTAACAGAGCGCCCGTATTGCGCTTAGTTTGGGTGGCGGTAGCACATCCCTTCTATATGCGACGCATTGGTGTGGAGTGATTGAAATGTAAATATATTATTGATTGTTTTTTATACCTTGAAGCCATTATTTGAAATGTTACCACAATATTTCCAGGCATCACAGTCCTACTGGCACTGTCCGTCTACATGAGTATCGTCAGCAACCTGTTGCCCAGCTCTTCCTCAACTACTCCAAGGCTCACCCTCTACCTCTTCATCCTTCTTATCTTCTCAATGTTGACAGTCATCGTTAGTATCGTCATCGTCTTTATACACAACCTAGAAGAGGTAAGTTTTAGAAACTGCAAAGTGGTATATATATATATATATATATATATATATATATATATATATATATATATATATATATATATATATATATATATATATATATATAGTTCTTATTAAATAAAAACAATCATAATATTATTTATTGATACTTTCTGTGTCCTAGAGAGAAGTAGCACACCTGAAAGCAAAGGCAAATTTCAGATCTGCTTTGAAGAAAGTCAACTACTTTAGAACGGCCACTGCCCGTATGGAAAATCTATCAAGAAATGATGCTAAACCACAGGAAGAACAGTCACTAACGAACGACTTTTCCAAACTTGACGATGCCAAATTTCAGCACGGAGAAACGGAAGATAGACAAACCCAGGACGATAGCCCGCAAAAACCAAAGGTGAATAAATACAAGTTAATTGGAAAACATATTGACCTGATTTCCTTTGTGATATTTTTTATTATTTGGATAGGTGTGACTCTTGGATTCCTGTTCAGTATCGCCTTTTAGATTGTTATATTTTTAAATAAACCGGGAGTGATCTCCCCTAAACTTTCTCGAATATTCTTATATAACTTGGAATGTAGACATGATTTTTAATTACTTAAACTTTTTAAAATAGAATAGAATCTCATAGAAAAAAACATTGCGCACCAAACAAACGCCGAAACAAAATGTGCATAATAGTGCGCAATATTATTAGTACTTTATAAATTTACTTGCGTTTTTTGAGAAATCGGAAATAGCGTAAATTAGTACTTCCGGTCAACGAAAATTACTCAAAATTTGATAGAAGGTAGAGAATTAGATCTATTACTACAAATAGACACACACACAGACAGACAGACAGACACACAGACATACGGACAAGATAGCAAAATTATGTTTTTCCGTATCAGTGAGGTGTAAAACGTCGAGATTTGCAAAAATCTCGATTTTTGTTTTGCACGATTACAAGACTTTCTCTATACTTCGTATATACGAGAAAGTAAAAAAGAGCTTTAAATGTCATTGTATTACAATATTTTTTAGCATTTGATTTTTAGTTTACGTATAGTTATTTAGAAAGAGGATTAACTGGTCACTATATCATCGATGTACAAATTTGTCTGTTATATTATAAACTCCAAATTCGCATTATAATTAATATTATAAAAATAAATGAGTGATTTTTTTAAAAACCTACAAAATTTCTGTTGATTTAGTTGGCTGTATGATTACAAATGAACTGTTTTATATCTATGGAATATGTCATGGAGGTGGGTGAAGTAATGAATGTACACGTTTAAGCAGCATAATAAAGTCAATATTATCAAGTCTTTTTATAAAATAAGTGTTATCTTCTATTTTTCATAAAAGATACAAACGGTTTTCTAAAATAAATTTTATAATCATAACAATTAAACCAGTTACAGAAACGAATCTGATTTCAATTACTCGTAAGTTCATTGAAACTACAGTAAAAAAAAATTACGTTTGTTTTTACTCTTAGCCACTGGTTTATTCGGTGTCTTGCAGTGATATTTACATTTGCGTCAGTTATTTTCCACTATGTATCAGATATTTTTTAAAGTAATTAGTTCAGTTAAGCTCCTCTTTCGAACTTACAGATCCATTGTGCAAATGAAATAGATTTCATATGTTTCTTGACCTTCGCATGTGAAGTGATAGTGTGGTCAACTCTATACCAAGCTGCATATAATTTCCCAATGGATAGCCAGGTACCTATCAAAGCTGGGTGAACTCAGGGACGTCTTACAGTCCATTATCTGAACCGGGAAGCGAACTCGAGACTTTCGAGTAATAGCAGAACGCCGTCCATTTTACGAAATAGTGCCTTGCTGTCTTTGTTTACTAACATTTATTTAAAATATAATACGTTTTTAATGTGTATACAACATGTAATGTATTTTCTTAATAAAGCACACATTTAAATGGAGCAGTTCTTGTTCAATTTTATTCATATAATTTATAATTTAACAGACAATTCAGTCTTGATCCACGTGCCAACTTTAGAACAACTCGGTAAATTAGAAGTGGTCGAAATTTCGCCCGCCAATTTCGATCTATGACGACATGACGAAGGAGCAAATTCAATAAAACCTTGTAAATAGTCTTAACAAGTCTGGCTCTGTCTCTATCCTAGTTGTTTTTACTAGGTTTTTTATTTAGTTCACAATGTCTGTCTCTATGTGTGTTTGTTTATTTGTGAGTTTGATGCCAATCTTGTAACTTAACTTGACTAAATTGTAACGTAGCAATTCCGTTCAAACTTTCCACATACGTTTGTCTTTGATTATAATGTAAGACTGTTTAGTATTTAATCACATTTGATATTAAATTTATAATTAAGAAGTAATATAAAGATTTCAACATTCAATATAAAAGGTGAGATATTATAATCAATCTCAAGCGATTACTGATTAACGTTTATACGACGATAAGATCTTGGTCACGGATGGATAGATTTATGCCTGAAGAGGCAGATAATTGTCTTTTAGAGATTTTGAGATACTGATCGTGTTTTGAAAATAATATTTTAGTCGTTAATAGTGTCAGTCTCATTAAGAACAAATTACTAAAAAGAATTTAATAAAACAAATAGCTGAAAATGAAGTTTAAAAAAAAATTAAACTTCCTTGCTTAAATAAAAGCATTGGTCGCTAATAACAGATCGCTTACACAGTTTAGAGACGATGTTTTTATAAAAGAAATTATTTTATTTTATTTACAGTGCATTTTAAACTTATTATAAATTGTTCTTTTTCAATAACTGTTTTATAATCAACTTGACACACTTCACTTAGACACTTGAATGTTTTAACAAAGTCAAGTAGTGTCATCTTTCTCGGTCTTTAATTACCCCAGTATGATATCCTTGACATAGGCCATCGAAGATGGTACGCCTGAATGAATAACCATTGATTACTTGAGGTAAGTGGGTTGATAGCATGCTTTATATTAGTATACTAAACGTTTTACAGTTTGTTTAAAACCTTATTTTGGAAATCACAATAACAAATGCAGTTGTGGAAAAAATATTGTAAAAAACTGTATCCAAAATTAATATGATTAAAATATTATATTTATTATTGTAGATCACAACAGCTATTAATTTATAGAAAGAGTGATTTCCAGTTCATGCTAGGCTAATCAGGTAGTCTTTTTACAGAATTTAGTTTTGCTAAGCAATCCTATGCTCTACACAATAACGCATGTGTTTTCCAAGCCTTTGGGTTTACACACACGCACACACACACACACACATGTATATATGTATATATATATATATATATATATATATACATATGTATATATATATATATATATATATATATATATATATATATATAGTATTTAGCGGTACGGGCATAAGTGGTTTGTTTATGTCTGTGTGTGTTGCACGAGCGTAGACGTGTTATGAGTTTGTTTGTATTTCAAAGTTTCAAGTGAATGAAATTATGAAACCAAAAATAACAAATCTGCTAATGAGTAAGACATGTTGATTGGGAAAAAAGGATCCACACTTTTAAAATGTGTAGTACAGGTAGGAGAAAGGAAGGGATGTTTTTGTAGTACTTGGAGGAGGGAGGAAGGGATGTTTGTGTAGTACTTGGAGGAGGGAGGAAGGGATGTTTGTGTAGTACTTGGAGAAGAGAGGAAGGGATGTTTGTGTAGTACTTGGAGGAGGGAGGAAGGGATGTTTGTGTAGTACTTGGAGAAGAGAGGAAGGGATGTTTGTGTAGTACTTGGAGGAGGGAGGAAGGGATGTTTGTGTAGTACTTGGAGGAGGGAGGAAGGGATGTTTGTGTAGTTTGGAGTAGGGGATGTTTGTGTAGTACTGGAAGTAGGGAGGAGGGAGGTGGGGATGTTTTAGCTCTAAGATAAGTGGGAGGGGATATGTGTGTACCCCTCGAAGGATTGACGTTAGTTAAGTCTTCAGGAGTGAATGGTTAACATTTATTTATATTCCACCTCATTGATTTTACAAGGTGGATATTTAATTAGCGGTGTCCTGTTATACTAGATAAGACCTATAATTATTAAAGGGTATTAATTTACCCCAGTATACACAAAGTATTGTGCTGGGGGTCGAGTATGCCGCGTTGGGGGTGTAGCCGTTTAGAAGAGCCCATTGAAAAGTAACTGGAGACCTCGGCTCTGTCATGCGCTTTGAATCGATACAAAAAAAAAACATTTATATCGTGTTATGGTTCTTCTGTTGAATACTCGCCGAGAAGATAAAACAGTATCGTATTTAGTTGTATATGTATGAGTGATAAGACGAATTAACAGTTTGATTAGTGACGGGGGTAGGTTTAGAATTCAGTCTGGAAATGCGATTGGGGTTTAGACTCGGGGTTCTTAGGCGGTGTTCGATCGAACCCCAGTGGTTCGGTGAGTCAATCTCAGGGGTTCGGCAGAGATCTAAGTACACACTTGAATCGTAATTCACGATCCGATTTTGTCTGTTCTGACGATAGAACTTTTAAGAAAGGTTCGGTGAATGTGTATATTAAACTGTTAGGGTTCGGTACATCAAAAGAGGTTTAGAATAACTGGCTTAGACTTTTTTTTATAACAATGTGAGTTGTACAGCTTTAAACAATGATGATGTATTTCACTAAAATATAACAGCTTTGCATAATGTGAATGAGATTGTAAACCAAAATAATAATGCATTCATACATTAATATCATAAAAATAATTAGACATTTGCATTGTTATAACAATATTATATTCAACTGAAGGCTGTTTCCTATACTATTTCTTTTTTTATATTAAATAACTTTTAAGCACTGGACCTAACTGTAACATCCGCTTAAAGTTAACATAAAAAGTAAATAATACGTTATGCTCTGTTTCTTGACCAACGACCGCACTCCGGTTGAACACACTCGGTTGAATAGTTCCCAATATACGACCCCCACTTCGATTCGTAAAAATAGTTCCGATAACTCTTAATTGCGAGTTGTCATTTGTTGAACCCTTGCCAAGTACACGGGAACTATTCGCTTGGTGGTTGAACGCTTCAGCACACGCCAACACAGTTCTGAGATTGAGTCCCAGGCACAGCCATGTTTTTACTGCTCAGCTGCTTGTGTCTTGAGCTCTTGTCGAGTCTGTGTTTCCACAAAGTGAAAGGCGAGTCGTACAGCAACACCGTGGAGATCTTCAAAGACAAGCTGGCCAGCTCGAGCTACAACCCTCGAATTAGACCAGTGGTCAACCAGTCGGCTGTCCTCGTCGTTCACGTGGCGTTTGAACTCGTGTCCATTGTGGAGCTCAACGATGTCCAGCAGAGCTTTACCTGCAACGGTTTTCTGGTGTTGAGATGGACAGATGAGGTCAGTATTTTGTGATATTTTAGAATGCATACGTGTTGTATTTTTGAAGAATGATATATTAATAATTTTGAATTAATATTTTTGTTGTTGAAATTAAAGAAAGAAAATTATATATATGTATACATATATATATATATATATATATATATATATATATATATATATATATATATATATATATATATATATATATATACATATAAAGATTGAAATCTATTAAAAAATACTTTAAAAATTACAATGATATTTAATTAAGCGTGTTTGACGAAACCACTCTTGTAAAAAGTGAAAGTGCACATTAACATTAGAGTCATGTTGTTTTATTAAATCAAAAACAACATAAAGAATTTGAGGAAACTTCAACTTTTTAAATTCCAGAATTTAGTCTGGGATCCAGCCCAATATGGAGGCCAGGCCGTGATTCACCCCGTCCCACAAGACATCTGGAGACCCAGGGTCGTGGTCATGAACACCTTGGGAGACAGGGACCCGTTTGCTGATGATTTCAGGTCTCAAACCCTCTCTTTTCGTGTAGTCTGCGTGGCTTAAGGTTCTCAATATGTTTTACTATCTTCGTCTTATAATAGTGCAACTCCTATCATTGTCTGCCTAACTTCGCTTTACCGTCTTCCTATCTTCGTTTTATCATTTCGCCTTCCTATCTTCGTTTTATCATTACATCTTCCTATCTTTGTTGTATTAATATGTCTTCCTACTTACTTTAATCATTATGTCTTCGTAATTTCGTTTTATAATTAATTTTTCCTATCTTCGTATTATCTTTACGTTTGACTATCTTTGTTTTATCATTGTCTTCGTATAATTTTCGATATGACATTTAAATTCTGTGTATTACACTACTGTCTTTATAATGGCTTTGATGAGTTTCATTTTTTTTAGTTTTGTCCACAGCTCATTGTATTAGATTCTTTAAATCGTGTTGACTGTATTTATAGCCTACTTTTTGAACCTTTATGTTTTATTTAGTTAACTCTATTTTATTCTCATTCCTTTTTTTCTAATTTTTTTCCTACAATTTTTTTTCAACCAGTTCCGTCTTCTAATTCCCTACGTTTAATTTTCAGATGTTACCCCATAATCCTTTAACTTGTGTCTGTTGTTTATGCCAAATTTCATATTTTTTTAGTATTAATTATTTTATTGAACGTTGTGGTCGAATAGTAGAGCGTTGGTTGAAAGCCCGAAGGTCTCGAGTTCGAATCTCGGTCTGGACTCGTAACTTCAAGACGTATCTGAGTCCACCCAGCTTTAATAGGTACCTGACTCACGTTAGGGAAACATAAGTGACTAGGCTTAGTGCTCACCCTCACCACACAATCCCTTCTTATGCCGTGGTCATTGAAACAAACGAACTCTACTTTATCTAGCCCATGTATCTTGGGCGCAAGTGTTGAAAAGAGATATTCTGATTTGTTATCATATATGCGTGAACCAAGTTTGAAAGAAATCCCTCTATTAAATGTTTCATTCAACATTGTGTTATAACCACCCAAACTTTTTTCTACTTAAATAATTGCTTATATACAAGTGTTTAAAATAGGTTAAGGTTTGAAAATTATAGGCCTATATATGATGGTTTTAAATATTTTAAAAATTTTATTATTAATTTATTTTTATATAATACCATACAATTTAAGGGAATGAAATAACATTACATTAAAAATCAAGTAACACCCTGTAACATTTCTCAATTACAATAACTGGTAACATACACATACACATATACACATGATTTATAACAAACCAATCAACCAGATGAATTGTGGAACTCTTATGAAGACCGTCTATTTTTAGCCCGATCTTCCTAACAAGCCAAGGTCACGTGACGTGGGTGCCTGGTTCCCTGTTCCTGACCTCATGTGAGCTGGACTTGACCAACTACCCCTTTGACACGCAGGTCTGCACTATAAAAGTAAGTTTTGACACGCAGGTCTGCATTATAAAAGTTTTGACACGCAGGTCTGCATTATAAAAGTAAGTTTTGACACGCAAGTCTGCATTATAAAAGTAAGTTTTGACACGCAGGTCTGCATTATAAAAGTAAGTTTTGACACGCAGGTCTGCATTATAAAAGTTTTGACACGCAGGTCTGCACTATAAAAGTAAGTTTTGACACGCAGGTCTGCATTATAAAAGTTTTGACACGCAGGTCTGCATTATAAAAGTAAGTTTTGACACGCAAGTCTGCATTATAAAAGTAAGTTTTGACACGCAGGTCTGCATTATAAAAGTAAGTTTTGACACGCAGGTCTGCATTATAAAAGTTTTGACACGCAGGTCTGCATCATAAAAGTAAGTTTTGACACGCAGGTCTGCATTATAAAAGTTTTGACATGCAGGTCTGCATTATAAAAGTAAGTTTTGACAGGCAGGTCATGGCGGCTTAAAGCTAACGGAATTGTTTAGACTAGACCAGAGGTGTCGCGAGGGGCACAACCTGACGCCATTAGGCAAAATGTGAGGGGATGACACCAATAAAAACTATATACATATAGGCCTTTGTAGATTTTATTTTATTTATTTATTCATTTTTTCTGGGGGTGGGGGGGAGGTGGTGGGGTGACACCGTGTGATGCCACACAGGGTGACACCCGCCCTAGCGACGCCACTGTGTCAGACAAACTATTTCTATTTTATCTCTTTATAGAAGGTTCGTTTGAGGCAAAATATTTCGCAAAGTTTGTGGTGAAGATATATATATATATATATATATATATATATATATATATATATATATATATATATATAAATATATATATATATATATATATATATTCTAATAATGTTTCTTAAATTGCCAACTATTATACGTATATTTTGTTCAGGCTGAGATAATGAATACAATTAACAAAGTATACGGCCAACTTGGAATAACAGGTGGGGTGCTGAGCCCCGACATACCTCCCATAGAGCCGCCTGTGGTTGCCAATACAAAAAATTCTAATAATGTCATGTTCTCTGCAACAACTAATTCCATATTAATATTATGTATGATTGATTGTGGTTTTGTAATTACTAAATTCAATAACTCACGGCAAATTCAATTAAGTTTTAAAACCGCACCCGAAGTAAATCTTTTGACAAAGCGGTCTAAGCATTGCCCCATTTTTTTCATGCACTGTAAGTTGTTTTTATCATATCCTCTTATTATTAACCTATTAGCATGAAATAAAATCGATTCACACCTCATGTGATTTTGACGAACTGTATCAAGCGAGATAAATCAGGCCACATGATGTTTTGAATAACGATAACTGCCTGACCCATTGTTTGGCAGCGAGCACGTGAGGTCGACTCCCTGTTGTGTTCTGACCCAGATAGCCCGAATGAAAGAGTTTTGATCTAGATATTAACCCTGTCTTGTCTGATTGATATTATAGAGGAATCATTGTAATTTCTGGTAAACGTAATCAGAATCGTTTCGTTGGTTTGTTTTTTAAATTGATTTTAATTATGTTCTTATCACATGTGGACTCAAAAATTACAAGCTAGCTGGTTCATAGTCGACAAGGTCTCTCCGTTATTGAAACCTTAATCATAGACTTACTATTATATTTTTGAAATTTCAGATAAAAAGTAACTAATTTAATAACCATCTTCTATACACTAAAAATGAGAGCATTTTAAGATAAAAGTTTTAGTTATTTCGAAAAAAAAAACATTATAGTCGTGTATCTAAAAAATAAAATGTTTTTATTATATTATTTTATTGTATTTAAAGCCTTGCTATTAATGTATTGTCTTAGGTGCTTTGAACATAGTGGCTCCCACCATATAAGCTTATATTTTATAATAGTTTTTTATAATAATAACATAACAAACGGTTGTTTAATTTTCAAATTAATGATACAATTATTACAATTGAATATCGAAAGGTTCTTCTGAGTTTCCATTAATAGAAATTACAATTTTCAAAAAAGTAAATTTTAATTTTAATTAATAATACGAACAGTACAAAGTTTCGGAAATAAATACCTAACAATAAGATGCACATATAAACGATAAAATTAAATAAATGTGCCTCTAATGTCAAAAAAGTAATATTTTTATGGGTACTAAATAATTGATGTGTAATTGCACACAAATATTTCAGTTTCTCTGTTTATCTCTAACAATTGCTCTCAAAATGGTTAAATTTTAAAAAAAAAAGCATTTCTGTAAAATATGTAAAAATCTATTCAAAATAGTTGTATCACGTTTTGGTTTTATGGACAGCTGCAACGTTTGACGTGTATCTATACATGGCGAATAATTATGTTATTAAATTACGCCGCACATAAAAAAAAATAATTACGCAACTTTTTGTCCCCTATTAATTTAATCCAAATCAAATGGACCCTTTGTAGACAAAACACCTGTGGACAAAGCCCCGCTGTTGTCAAAGCAATTATGTTCAAAGCACATTGGGTCTAAAGTACGCGTACCCATATATATATATATATATATATATATATATATATATATATATATATATATATATATATATATATACATATATATATATATATATATATATATATATATATATATATATATGTGTGTGTGTGTCTCTGCCCGTGTCTGTGCCCGTGTCTGTGTGTGTGTGTGTGTGGTGACAGGAAACATTATGCTAGGACAAAAGATCTTAGAAGAAAAGTATCCATATTATTAGTAGTACAATCACGTGTGTTTCTTGTGATTTTGGTGTCTGCATGTGATTTGTGGGTGTCAAGCCGGATATAATGATATGGGTGGGGAGGGTGTTGAGGGGAGGGGGGAGATACAAAGTACTGAGCGCGCCGGACCGAAAAGAAAGCAGCAGGGCTGTTACTGCCTCATTCACCTTTGTGAAACCATTTTTCACAATATCTGGATCCACTACTTTGTGAAACCATATCTTACAATATTTGGATCCACTACTTTTTAAAAACCATATCTTACAATGTCTAGATCCACTACTTAGTGAAACCATATTTTACAATGTCTAGATCCACTACTTTTTGAAACAATTTTTTTACAAAATCTGGATCCACTTCTTCATAAAACCTTATCTTACAAATCCTAGATCCACTACTTCATAAAACCATATCTTACAATGTCTGGATCCACTACTTCATAAAACCATATCTTACAATGTCTGGATCCACTACTTCATAAAACCATATCTTGTAATGTCTAGATCCACTACTTCATAAAACCATATCTTGTAATGTCTAGATCCACTACTTCATAAAACCATATCTTACAATGTCTAGATCCACTACTTCATAAAACCATATCTTACAATGTCTGGATCCACTACTGCATAAAACCATATCTTACAATGTCTAGATCCACTACTTCATAAAACCATATTTTACAATGTCTGGATCCACTACTTCATAAAACCATATCTTACAATGTCTAGATCCACTACTTCATAAAACCATATCTTACAATGTCTAGATCCACTACTTCATAAAACCATATCTTACAATGTCTAGATCCACTACTTCATAAAACCATATCTTACAATGTCTGGATCCACTACTTAGTGAAACCTTATCTTACAATGTCTGGATCCACTATTTCATAAAACCTTTTATTACAATGTCTAGATCCACTACTTCATAAAACCATATCTTACAATGTCTAGATCCACTACTTCATAAAACCATATCTTACAATGTCTGGATCCACTTCTTCATAAAACCATATCTTACAATGCCTAGATCTACTACTTCATAAAACCATAACTTACAATTCCTAGATCCACTTCTTCATAAAACCATATCTTAGAATGTCTGGATCCACTACTTTATAAAACCTTTTATTACAATGCCTAGATCCACTTCTTCATAAAACCATATCTTACAATGTCTGGATCCACTACTTTGTGAAACCATTTTTTTACAAATTCTGGATCCACTACTTTGTGAAACCATATCTTACAATGTCTAGATCCACTCCTTCATAAAACCATATCTTACAATGCCTAGATCCACTACTTAGTAAAACCATATCTTACAATGTCTAGATCCACTACTTCATAAAACCATATCTTACAATGCCTGGATCCACTACTTCATAAAACCATATCTTACAATGCCTGGATCCACTCCTTCAGATCGTCGCCATGACAGTGACGCTAGACGAGATGCAGTTCCAGGTGTACTCCAACAAGGTCGACACCAATTTTTTCACCACCAACGGCCAGTGGGACCTGATTGATACGTCAATCAACACGTCATCACTCTACGCTGAATCGATTAGTATGTCGTCTTTCGAAGTGAGTACAGAACATACACATTTATTGTGTCTATATATACGTTTGTTTTTCTTTGTGCTACATTTAGTACAGAACGCATAATTTTTGTGTACCTTCATATAATGTATTTACAATCTTATCATATTTAGTCTGAACGCATAATTTTAGTATACCTCCATATAACTTATTTACAATCTTATCATATTTAGTACAGAACGCATAATTTTTAACAAAGCCATTCACGTGCATTTACAAATGTGTCACATTTAGTATTAAAAACATAATATATCAACGTTTATTTACATTCGTATAACGTTTTAAACCATACCTTGATTATCCCAGTAACTACTTTTTGTTTTCGAGATTCGCAAGCATTTCTGATGTAAGAGGATTAATTCATATTTTTTAATCGTCTGAGTTCTTATCCAATCCACCACATGCTACAACATAACTTAAAATGTGTAATCAAAGAAAATCTATTTATAGCAAACAGATAAATCACTGTAGGGTCACCCTCCCCCCCCCCCCACACACACACACCACTCGTTAAAAACAAACTATCCACAATCTTCTTATCAAGTTGACATTAAAGCAGCTAAGCCTTAATTTATATTTTATTCAGTATTCAGAGTTCAAATTCAATTTCTTTAAATGTCATAGCGATGTGAAAAAGTGTAGCTATCTCCCCCCCCCCCCCCGCGCTACCGTTACCCCCTCTATTACCCCCGTATCAACACCCCCTCCCACCCCCACAACCCCTACCGCCGACACCCCCCCCCCCTCCCACCCCCTACCGTCACTCCCTTAACACAATGTTCTGCTTACATCGTACAGTTTAAAATACATCTAGAGAGAGACATGAGTTTTCGTTATTTCGCCTCTGACGTACACAGATGTATGATTACCTTTTCATCCCTAAACTTAATTAAAAAGTGGCTTATTGGAATATCCTTTAAAACACAGTATATTCACGGGGTATTTCAAAAGTTCACATAATTGTTAAATAAATATTTATTTGAATAAAGAATCTTTGTTTGATAATGTTTAGATGAGGCTGGTGATGAAGAGAAGGTCGACGTTTCTGCTAATCGACATTATCCTCCCTGTCGTGTTCCTGTCGTTTCTCAACCTTATGGTGTTTGTAATACCGGAAGATTCAGGGGAGAAAATCGGATACGGTAAGTAGAAAAAAACAGAAATCGGGTTGCTGTTCTTTGGAATCAGCAGTAAGAACAGGAAAATAAATCGTGAAAATTATGCCCTTGGGATGAAGGGGTGTGGTATAAAATTTGTTATTTTTTCTCTCAAGGGTAGCAGAGAGCAAATGCTAAATAACACTACAAATTTAGACCTGTATATAAGTAGTTTTTATTTTTATTATTTATTAAGCAGTTTTCTACCGATCAGTTAAAAGATAATAGCAGGATTACACAATAGTTCAGTACCAGATTGTAAGCTTCTCTGTAGCGTATGTCCTGTTGTATGTGCACTAATGTGTACGGTTCTCTGTGTACTCATGTGTTATTGTCTCTGTGTACTAGTGTGTAACGCCTAATGATCTGTTCGTACCATTGTGTACTGTTCAATGTATGTGTACTCAAGTGTACTACACTCTGTGTAGCACTGGGTATTTCTATAATGTGTACCCATAGATACGGTTGTATACTCATGTGCATTGTTCTCTGTGTACCAATGTGTGCTGTACTCTTTATACAAATATAAACTGTAAACTGTGTACTAATATGTATTGTTCATTTTGTACTAATGTGCATTGTTCTATGTATACTAATGTGAATTGCAATCTGTTTACTAAAATGTACTGTAGTGCACTACTGTGCATTGTATTGTGTGTGCCATTGTGTACTGTACTATGTGTACTAATACGTACTCTACTCAGCGTACTAAATTTTACTGTACTTTGTATACTAATATGTGCTGTTAATTGTGTATTAATTTGTACTATACTATGTGAAATAAAGTGTACTGTGGTGTGCATTGTTCTCTGTTTACCAGTGTGTAAAATACTCTGTATGTACATCGTGTACTCACCACTCCCAGGCATCACCGTCCTGCTCGCTTTGACCGTCTACATGAGTATCGTCAGCAGCATGCTTCCCAACTCCTCACTCAAAACGCCGAAGGTCACCCTCTACATCTTCATCCTCCTTGTCATCTCCATGCTGACCGTCATCGATAGCATCGTCATCGTCTTCCTTCACCATCTTGAAGTGGTAACTCGTTGTCTCTGGTTTAGTATAAGGCGATTATGGTAGAAATCTCTCATTTGTTTTTTAAAGCTGTTAGGGTTAAGGTTAGGTTTAGGGTTAGGGTTAGGGTAAGTGTAAGGGTAAGGGTAAGGGTAAGGGTAAGGGTAAGGGTAAGGGTAAGGGTAAGGGTAAGGGTAAGGGTAAGGGTAAGGGTAAGGGTAAGGGTAAGGGTAAGGGTAAGGGTTAAGGTTAGGGTAAGGGTAAGGGTAAGGGTAAGGGTAAGGGTTAGGGTTAGGGTTAGGGTTAGGGTTAGGGTTAGGGTTAGGGTTAGGGTTAGGGATAGGGATAGGGATAGGGATAGGGATAGGGATTGGGATAGGGTTTTGTTTTGGGACTGGGATTGGGATAGGGATAGTGATAGTGTTAAGGTAAGGTTTAAGGTTAAGGTTACGGTAAAGAGGTAGAGGATAAGGATAAGTAACGGTTATCTCACACATTTTCTTAAAGTAAGGAAAAAGAATAGCACTTTTTCTAACCTGATAGTTTATGGGGCAGGGGAAGTAGAGTTCACCTGTTTTAGAGACATCTGTATATATAAGTGATAGTGTGTTCAGCACAATGCCAAGCCGCCTTTACTTTTCCAAATGTAAGACATGTGCTCATCAGTGTCGGGTGGACTCAGGGACGTTCTACTGACATGAACCGTGATGTAACCCCAGATTTTCAGGTTAGCAGTCGTATGCTCTAGTATACGACCACGTCGCCTCATATTTACTTAAAGTGGTTTGTGCTAATTTACGTGGTAAGTGGTAGATGTCTCCAATTTTGACTATTTCATCTACCATTGGTATGAAACCTGAATGGGATATTTTATTTAAATATGTATTATGTACATCGAAGGAAACTAAAGAAATCTCCAAAAATTTCAGTTATTGATTTCAATTTACTGTTAGTATTATCAAAACCAACTCTAAACGTGAATTGTTTTTTAGTAAAGGTATTTTTTTCCAGAGAGAGGACGCCCATTTAAAGGCAAAAGAAAACTTAATGTCAGCTGTAAATAAAGTCGTTGCCTTAAGAAGGACAATACCACTCTTCACAAAATCTAAAAACTACAATGTAAAAAACCCCTGGCCTGTGCATCAAGCAAAAGAAACAGAAAAAGCTGAAACGCCACGTGATGATAACATCAGTACAATACCACGCACACACGTAAAGGGCTTTAAAAACTCACGACGTGACAGCAACACTGCGCTGAGCACTCAAGATATCTCAGAAATATCATTCAGTAACGGCATCAGTAAAATAACGCGCGCGAGAGAGAAGTCAGAAAACCAATTTCCCGAGGACGAGAACACCACACAACGCAAGCAAGACAATACAGTGATAGAATTCTCCGATGACTTTGACACAATACAACACCATCCGGAAACCAACGCCGTACCTTTTAACCCTAACATTGACACCATGTCCGGCTCGCACCGGAAAACAGCCAACGAAACCCAACGACACCGACCTAAGAAAAATAAGTACAAAAAATTCGGGAAACACATTGACCTCGTCTCCTTCATTGTGTTTCTTACCATATGGTTGACCGTTACTTTGGGATTTCTATTTGACATTGCTTTTTAATTCGCTAATAATTAGTTGATGATACATTTGCAAAAATAAAAGACCGTGCTTAATTTAGCATGGCAGATTTTGGTGGAACTAAAACCGAAATATAAAAAGCTTTAATTTTTATTTTGTTAAAATAAAGAAGAGTTCAGCAGCTGCAAAGTAAACCCACATAAGTATGGAAAATTTTCATGTTTTAACGTGCTTAAGTGGTTATTAAGGGAGGTAACTAAGAAACTGTGGCTTATTGAAAGCTTCATCAGTATGTATGGACCGCCAAGTACAGCTCGCCGGAGTTCCCTGTCCTGCTGTAGTATGGGCAGCAGAAAACAGCTCTACGGTTATCTGCCCTGCTCGAATGTTTGTACCGACAACTACAGTTCTTTTGGAGTTCTCTCTTGTGGTGGTTGTTTGACACGACAAATACAGCTCTCCAGAGTTCTCTGTCCTGCTGAAGGGGCTGTAACCACAACTCCCAAGTTCTCTGTCCTGCTGAAGGGGCGGCAACCACAACTCCCAAGTTCTCTGTCCTGCTGAAGGGGCGGCAACCACAACTCCCAAGTTCTCTGTCCTGCTGAAGGGGCTGCAACCACAACTCCCAAGTTCTCTGTCCTGCTGGAATTAGAACAGGCAATCAGTGCTCTAAATCATGATCACCGCCACTCCCTCCATCTGGTTCCCTGAGACATAATGTTCACTTACCTTGAAGGATGCATGGTGTAAACAACCTAGTGCTATTGGCACTTGATGTACGCAGTGTGTGCCCAAACAAACCCCTTCGTCTCCACCTGATTACTTCAACAGGGAAGTGGCAGAATATTTTCCCACCGAGTTTATTTCTTGTGATAGGTCTTGCTGTCTGGTACTTATGCTGTTTAGCTGTTACGTAAGCTGTTTAGCTGTAACATGGGCTGTTTAGCTGTTACGTGAGTGTTACGTGGGCTGTTTAGCTGTTACGTGAGTGTTACGTGGGCTGTCTAGCTATGGCGTGGGCTGTTTAGCGGTTACGTGAGCTGTTTAGCTGTTAGATGGGCTGTTTAGCTGTTACGTGGGCTGTTTAGCTGTAACGTGGGCTGTTTAGCTGTGACATGGGCTGTTTAGCTGTTACGTGAGCTGTTTAGCTGTTAGATGGGCTGTTTAGCTGTTAGATGGGCTGTTTAGCTGTGACGTGGGCTGTCTAGCTGTGACGTGGGCTGTTTAGCTGTTACGTGAGCTGTTTAGCTGTTAGATGGGCTGTTTAGCTGTTACGTGGGCTGTTTAGCTGTGACCTGGGCTGTTTAGCTGTGACGTGGGCTGTTTAGCTGTTACGTGAGCTGTTTAGCTGTTAGATGGGCTGTTTAGCTGTTACGTGGGCTGTTTAGCTGTTACGTGAGCTGTTTAGCTGTTAGATGGGCTGCTTAGTTGTTACGTGGGCTGTTTAGCTGTGACGTGGGCTGTTTAGCTGTTACGTGAGCTGTTTAGCTGTTAGATGGGCTGTTTAGCTGTTACGTGGGCTGTTTAGCTGTGACGTGGGCTGTTTAGCTATGACGTGGGCTGTTTAGCTGTTACGTGAGCTGTTTAGCTGTTAGATGGGCTGTTTAGCTGTTACGTGGGCTGTTTAGCTGTTACGTGAGCTGTTTAGCTGTTAGATGGGCTGTTTAGCTGTTACGTGGGCTGTTTAGCTGTGACGTGGGCTGTTTAGCTGTGACGTAGGCTGTTTAGTTGTGGCGTATCTTGTTTAGCTGTTACGTGAGTGTTACGTGGGCTGTTTAGCTGTTACTTGGGCTGTATAGCTATGACCTGGGCTGTCTAGCTATGACGTGTCTTGTCTAGCTGTGACGTATCTTGTCTAGCCAACAAACCTAAACGAATCCGCAAGAGCAGCAACTTATGATTGTGTGGTCAATCTGTCCATTGCTGACTTGTTTGTATTGAAAGGGGCAGCGGAGAATGTCTTTCTTCTCTCCCACCTAAGCCTGTGAAGGGACATTATGGTAGACGTGGTATTCGTGTCTTGTAAAGTTAGAGGATGTCTGTAGTGTGTGTCTAATTAAATCTTACCTTCTGTAGTTCTGTTTATGGGTGCCATGATTTATCCAAAACACATGCAATTAAAATTATTTACCTATTTGCCAAGGGGTGGTTGTAAAATATTTTATATAATGGAAACTTATCATACGCCTTAGTTGGTCAGAATATTTTCCGAGGCCTAGGAAATTCAGATGTTGTTTGCTAAGGGTAGTCAGATTATAGGTCTAGTAATATTTTTGTATATACTCTACTGGATTTGTGTTTGAAATGCATAACAATTGACTAGACAGTCGTATTTTGTACAATAGAGGTAGACGCAACCTAGAACCAGTTGTATAATTATGACAGGTTTTAAAGGAAAATTATCATTCCATGCATAATTATTTACTTCGAGAAATACTAGGATGAAAACGGCATTCCATTTTTTTGACCTCTTTTCATTAGCAAAAGTAACAGGTAAAGTTACACGATTGAATCTGAAGAAGATTGTACGTTGATCAAGCGATCAAACTGAATCTTCCATCACTTCTGAATCTTCCATAAGTAAACAACGGGGCAGTTGTATTTTTTTTTTACTTATGGCCTAGTCAGATAAAAAATGCACAAACAATGTTAAAAAATTTCTGTATTTAAAAACTCTTTTAAATTTTATTTCAGTGAAGAAATGTTTTACAAATCTTATAAACTAAAATGAAATTCCCAAATGATATTATATTTATAACATTTAGTAAATATATACAGTATTCAATCATTACAAAGTAATTTGCATTCAATTTGAGCGTGTTAACTCTTGTTTAATTCCCTGTTTAATATTTTACTCAGTTAAACAATAATTGAAGTTAGTATTCTTTATGCAAATAATGTGTATGTCTTCATTGCTAATTCTCTTGGAGTTTGACAAAATCAAGTGGCTTTAGTTAGAATATTATATATATATATATTTATTTATATATATATATATATATATATATATATATATATATATATATATATATATATATATATATATACAATAAAATTGGTAAAGCAGTTAGAAGGACGAGCATACAATTTACAAATAGTCGATCTTAAATTTACTTGATAATGACGAATTCTTTTAACCAGTTCAAAGAATGTTGAATATGAATGTGTAAGTTGAAATATGTAAGTTGACATGTGTAGGTTGAAATGTGTTAGTTGGCATGTGTAAGTTGAAATGTGTAAGTTGAAATGTGTAGGTTGAAATGTGTTGGTTGAAATTATTAAAATATATAAAATCCACTTTTAGGAAAAAAAACGTAACTTAACAACTAAAAAGAATAAAATTGATACGTCAATAATGTTTTTCTTTTCCCTTTTTCCACAATGTTTAAAGAACTAAGACATAAAACACAAAAGTGTTTTTATTAAAACACTAACTACTTATATAACACTTTTCAAAATAAAGCGAGACACATATATGCAGTCAAACACACACACACACACACACACACACAAACACACACACACACACACACACACACACACACACACACACACACACACACATACATACATACACAATGGGAAAAAATAGTTTTTTTCTTACTAAGGTAGGTGTAAAACGCCGAGATTTCTAAAAAAAAATCTCGATTTTGATTTTTTGCAAAATTACAATACTTCATCTATACTTCGTATTCGACAAAGTAATAGTGTAGATTTAATTTTTCTTAGTGCAATGAATTAAATTAACTTAATGCCTTTTTTAAACACAAAATATAACTTTAAAAATGTTTTTAGTAATATCCTACTTAAAAAAATTTACATGTTTTTGTAAAACTTGTTCTTTGAATGCCTTTACATGATAGTTTGAAAATATTGAATGCATCAATAACGTCGCAATTTAAAACCGAAATTCAATTCAAATGCAATTGAAATAGCGGCAAAATGCAATTCTCCGAAAGCTTATAAGCATCTTAAATGTCCACGTAAAGTTTTATCCAATCCATGTAATGTGAAACAGAAGCATAAATGCTTGGAAACAAGTATGCTACATCATCCTCTCCTACGAAACTAGTAACGCCCAGAAGATAAAATCTTCCGTTTTTGTAGCAGCTGAGAGGTCCACCGGAATCTCCTTTATAAGCTTCAGACATCTCTGGCGCATCAAGACAAATATAGGAAGCGTGGTGTGGTGATAGCATTACCATAGTAAGCATCGTTTTGCACAAACGTGGATCCATGATACCCGTCCGGAGTTGCATCAGTCTGTCTGGACGAATAGGGGAATGTGTGTCTCTTGTTATTAGACCATAACCCGTGATAAAACAAGGGGACGCATCCCAAATGTTTCCCTCTGGTAAGCAAATCGGCCGAATCGATTCTGAGTAGTCAATCGGCGTTGAAAGTTTTAAAAGTGCAAGATCGTTTATATTGGGATTACTGCTGTAATGTGGATGTTGTACCTTTAATACAACTTTTCTATAAGGAGACTTGTATTGTTTAAAATCAACTTCACCCAGAAGGACATATGTGTCTAACGATGTTATGCAGTGTGCCGCAGTCAAGATCCATTCACGGTCAATAATAGAACCACCACACATAGTCTGATCTGTTAGAACAAGAACCTGCCAAGGCCAAGCGTGTCTGGGTGCTTCAACACCATTGATAATAAGGTCAGAAATATTGTAGTTGGAAACACCACAGCCTTTTTGATTGAGCATGTCTGACACCATTGGCGCATCTACATGAAACTGCCAGAAGTAAAGGAGTTTATAGACCAGTAAAGGAAGTTGTATTACTTTGTCCCAGCACATGATATGTTCTGCAACTGTTCGTATGACGTCCGGAATTTAGTTACCTGTAAACAAAACAAATAAATAAATAGTCAGAAACAAGATAAACATGGTATTATTATTTAAATGGTTGTTAACTTTTCTGGAATGTGTTAGCTCCATAAAATAAAATAGCTTTAAAAAATAAACAAATTATCAAATATGATTAAAATACTATATAAAAAACATTAATAAACGGATGGATGAAGACATTGACAAATGGTTTGATGGGTGGACGATATTGACGGATGAATGGTACGAATGGAATGGATGAATGTATTGATAGATAGATGGATCAATTGATGGATGGACGGATAGACGTATAGAGGGTTGGACGTATGAATGTGTGAATTGATGGACTGACGGATGGCTAAAAAGTTTCAAACTATTCAATGTCAAAGCTATTTGATGGAACAAAAATGATTATTGTTAATAATTTTCGTTGTCTTGTTGGTGATTTATTACGTCCCTTGTATTTTGTATATTATGGTTATGTCCCTTGAGTGTTTACTGTGTAGCTGATGTGTACCTGTGAGCTAGGTAACTGCAGACAGACTCAGAGACAATTCATGTCTACGCTGTCTAATGTAATAACATTTCAAGGTGGGCGTGGTCGAGTCGGTAAAGCTATTGGCTGCTTAACCGAAAATTCTCGAGTTCGAACTCTTGGGCAGATGAGGCTCGTTAGCTGGGGACAGACACTCTTCAAGGAGAGACAACTCCAAAATCAAAGAAATGCTGCCTTGTAGTTTGTTCTTGGTTGGACAAAGGCTATGGAAGCAAATCCAAAAAGAAAAGCAGGCTGAAATCGGAGTCAATGGCCTCAATGACGCATAACCAGTTGACACATATACTTAATTGTGTTGGAGGGTATCCCTTCCAATAGTAAAATTAAGAACGAAGAAGAAGAAGAAAGAACAGAAGAAATCAGGAGGTGAATTAAACGGTATAGGAGTAGGCCTATGTAAGAGATTTGGAAAAAAAATGGCCAAGACTTGTAATTTCTGTGAACATATGGAAGAAACATTGTTGCGAGACAGAGTAGTGTTGGGGACCAAGGACAAGGACAATAATAATGCTGGGACAAGCACAATTAACATTGAAATCTTGCTTAGAATTATGTAAGATAGTGTTACGATCGCCGTCTGACAGACGCAGAACAGGCGAACGCCCCGGGTTCGTTTGATGTAGTTAGACAAAAATACCCTTGGACAGAATGAACACACCTGCATCTATGTGGACTTGTTAAAATAGTCTAGGGGAACGAATGATGTGACTCAAACTAGGCTCAACTGACAACTACTATTTAATTTGTGTACAAGTATATACAATAGATTCTAAGCCAAAGTAAAATACAATACAACTTAGGGTCAATAATAAACCAACAAAAGTCATTTTATAGATCTCTCAAGGTTACTTAAATAAACCTCCAAACCTGATAACAACCTATCACCGATGTGACAAGGGTGCAATTATACACCAAGACAAAATATCAGTAACACTAAAAATTGTCACACAATACCTTATATAAGGAGATAAAATATGCCACAAACTAAACAACTGAAAATGGCCCACAAAACATACGGCACATTTCTCTCCTAGTCCAAAGTCAATAAGGCTGCCTTGGGACAAGATCTGCACGAGATTATATACAGCTTAGTATTATGGAGATCACTCAAAAGTCATACGAATATTGGTTGTGGATCTGTTAAGGATCCTCAATGTCGCAAGATCATTGGTCGAGGATCTGCCAAGGATCGGGATAAACAATCACATTCCAATCACATCAGGTGACTGAGTTCAGTTGACCGAGGAGATCAGGTGACCTATCAACTCTCTCAAGGTTAACCACATAACTCAGGAAACTAAATAATATAAGTAAAGAAAAGACCTAAGTAGGTTACAATAGCAGAAGAAAAGGACAAACAGTTGACAATTTTGAATGAAGTGGAAAATAGAAAATTGGAGGTAAAAAAAGTTTTTGCAGTGTCATATAAAGGAAACAATATGCACTTTATTCCCAATTGTAGAAACTGTGTAAAAAGCACAAATTTATTAAAGAACTATGTCCCACATCGGGTAAAAGATGTAAGAATTGTGCCAAACTGAATCATTTCGCTGTGAAGTGCGGAATGACGTAAGTAAAGATTGTTGGTGTTTGCTATCGGAAGAGTGTTTGTTGGCTGTCAGTGATAAGAGACAAAAGATGATTAAAGCAGCGATGATCATTGGGCAAAATAATGTTGTGTGCCAAGTCGACTCGAGTGCGACAGTGAATGTCATCCCAGTGAGGTATATAGAGAACACACACAACACATGCACTAAAAAATACTTGATCGAATTTGTCGTAGTTCAGAATGATATGATTCCCTTGCTGGTGAAAAAGACATCAGAGAAAAAGGGACTGATCACAGTAAATTATGATAAGTTTCTTCTAACTTAAGAATATGGATCGTTTTGTGGATGAAGCTGTGAATAAGTCGATGGATAAATCTCAAAAAATAAAGCTTCATCCCCCATTGCTTTATATAAAAACATTCGAGAAAGTTTAGGGGAGATCACTCCCGGTTTATTTTAATTTAAGTGGATATGACAAGTTTTTTTTTCTATTTTTTTACAATATAAGATTTAAAGCCATTTGAATACTATTACCATGTTTAGCATATGAAAGTAAGTATTAAACAGCAAAAAAAAGGGTTGAAAACATTATTCTTAATTTAATAATAAAATGTTGTCCCTAGCGGATTTTGATAGCCTTTATTAAAAACAACAGTTTACAGCAAAACAAATATGCAAATGTTTCAAATTTTCACATATTTAGTATAGTGGGTTTTCTTTCGGACCATGTATAATTCAGACCAGTAGCCTTATCAAAAAGTTGTAGCGACAAATGTTTTAATATATAACGAATTATAAGCAGTGTAAATTTGATTTTTGTATGTGCAAAAATTTAAAAAAAAACCTTAGCTTTTGATTTTTTTTTTAAATGCCGATGAATTAAAAATGGCGGATGTTTTTTTTTGGGTATTCGGTGACAACTGAAATTGTTTTAAAATCCGTTTAGTAAAAATATTTTTTTAAAAAACTAGGCATAACGCCATTATTAAAATTTTCTGCAAATAGTAGGTTGGCCTACTAATATTTCAATTTGTGGATGAATCTACGAATAAGTCGATGGATAATCTCAAAATAAAAGGTTCTGATGCAGTTAACCATTTATGTGTATTATGTGGTCAGGGTGGTAGTATTATAATTTTCATTTGGTGCGCAATATTTTTTGACATGCAACTCGATTGAATTCAAACTTTTAAAGTTCTGAAAAGAAATTTTATAAAAAAATATATTTTAATTATAATAATAATGTATATGTATTAATGCACTAAAAAGAAGAAAATAAATGATTTTTTTTTTAAATTTTCAATAATACACTATTATTTAAACGACTATAAAGTAAAGTTTAGTAAAGTGTTGCTCTCTTCATAAATATTAGTAAGGGTATCCGATAGATAATACAGTGATTCCCGCTATTCTTTATAGTTATTCAAATAGTAGTGTATTGTTATATATTTAAAGAAAATCATTTTTTTTCTCCATTTTAGTGCATCATTACATAAAATCTTGTTATTAAAACGTATTTGTGCAATCGTTTACTTTCCAGTTTTATAATAAAAAGTAATAAATTTACCTAGTCATAGTCATGATCCTAGGACACTAGCATGAAAAATCAAAGCACTTACACTGCATTTGTATTTTAATTACCTTATAATTCTAAAAAGGATTTAACTAAATTAAGAATTAGTAAATGTTTAAACATTTTACATCAGAAATGTACATACATCGTGAAATATTTGGAGACTCGCTACGCCAAAGTTGTGAAAATGACGTTTCGGTGCGTCATTTAATGGTAATTCCCCTTAAAATGTGTTTTTGAAAGTGTTCTTAAGTAGGCAGGAGCTTGGTGTCACTTATAGAGGGTTTGTTTGTGTGTGCTCATTCAGAGGAAGATAAAAAATTAAAACTAATTGCATGCAACCTTATAAAGTTTTAGCAATCTACTGCAAACAAGGCAAGAAAGTTCGGTGTTATGATAGATTATAAATATCTATCATGGTGTCTCCACCTCTCCCCCCTTCTTGCTACCCCACAGGTAACGGTACACACCTGGACCCGAGTCCAGCGGTATTGTAAGGCTGACCGGGGCTCGACCTCAGACTGCGGTCACGAGGGCGGAGCCTGAGTCATGTGACCTGTAGGGTAGGGACGCTACAGTCCGGTCACTCTACCTTCTCCCCTCTTCGGAGGTACACGTTTATTTTGGTGCTTAGGCACTAGCCATTATTACATTATAATTATTTTGGTGCTACGGCACTTGTACTCCTCGGAGAAATTAAACGTACGTTTGGCAACGTGTGTAGAGGATTGTGTGGCTTCTTTGGAAGGTAATTAACACTTACTTTTATTAGCTGTAATGTTATAATACTAATTAATAAGTATGGAATGAATATAAAACAATGTATGAATGAAAAGCATATTTTCTAGTAATGTTTATTGTAGGCCTTATGTGAATGTAAATGTATTATCTTGGTAACAATTGTAAACTTGTATGTGTCTGAATGAATGTGTATATCACACAGATGTTAGGAAGTTGTCACATGTATTTTACAGCCGGCCAGCTTGGGGCTAAAACTTAGTACAGAGGTCTGTGTGTGAGGAAGTGTGACCACGCCGCCCTGGAGACCAGTCGCCCCTTCCAGGCTACCTTAAATTGTATCGTTATTACTTTGCCAATAATTAATGTATTAATAAAAGTTAAAGGATTGGAAACTGATTTAATTATTCAATCATAATTTTAACCCTTTTCACTGAGCCAAATATCGGCAATCAGTTAATAATAATAATACAACATTAATAAACTCAATATTACTATCAGTTAATAATAATAATAATACAACATTAATAAACTCAATATTACTATTAAGGGACCTCTTGTCCAACGAGACAAACCCTAGACTAACAGGTCATTCTGTAGCTGCGGCTATAGTTATTTATGTGCGGTATGACTCGCTAGAGCATATTTGCCACATTCGGATAGTAAAAAAAAAATTAATATGATTCTTGCGAACAGTGAGAAATTTGAATGTTGTGTCGGTAAACGTAAATAAGCGATAATTCAAATTTAGAAATTTTGAAAATGTAACTCTGAACTAGTGATGTACTTCTAGCAGTCAATATATATATATTTCTTGCAGTCAATATATATATATATATATATATATATATATATTGATATATTTTAACTAGGGAACTTATTCTACTTTCAATTTTTCCTGGTATCATTTGTCTGTGAGATCATTTGTACTTGAGATAATTTGTCCTGAATTTTTTTTTCTGAGATCATTTGTTCTGAAATCATTTGTCCCGTCACCATATATATATATATATATATATATATATATATATATATATATATATATATATATATATATATATATATATATATATGTATATATATATATATATATAAAGATATATATATATATATGTGTGTGTGTGTGTTCGAGTGTGTGTTTGTGTGTGTTTCTATATAAAAAAAAACATGAAAAACTATATGTATATAAATAAATATATTTTTATCTATATTTATAATTTATATACGAAAGTAGTTTGGTATATAAATATATCCATATTTAAAATGCAAAGCATGTACAACTAATTTTACATTTGAAAAGTTTTTATTAGTAATAAAAACTATGCATTTAAGGCAATGTTCCTTTTTTTTTTATTAAAAATTTAATTAAAACAGAATACTTATTCGATTGTTGAAACTTAATCGATATATGTAAATTCTTTCAAAGTAAAACCACGTACCATACGGAATTGCATTGTAATCCTTTACTTTGCATAGTTTATTGTTAATAACAGCTTTATTTTGTTTATTGTTATTAGGTTCAGAGGACAGCACGAATTGTTTAATAGAACACGTTAGACAAATTTCTAATTTTTAGTATAAAACAAATACATATTTTTCTAACTAGAGTAAATAAACAAGCTATTATAATTTTAAAATGTGGATGGTGATTTTTCGTTTCTAGTAACCTGGAAATAGGTTATCAAACAAGTATGTTCTCAGTTGTTGAACTTGTTGTATATTCTAATACATTTTAATGTATTTATAATGTTTAATTTATTCGTTTCTTATGTTAATTGGCGTTCTTTGTTCCTTTTAACCATTTTATTAGATTAAAAATAAGCCAAATGGCAAAGACTTTCCTAGTGTTATTTTATAAAAGAGAGACTGAGAGACAGAGAGAAGACAGACAGAGAGATAGAGAGACAGGGACAGAGAGACAGACAGACGCACAGACGGACAGACAGATAGACAGACGGACAGACGGTCAGACGGTCAGACTGACAGACGGACAGACGGACGGACGGACCCACGGACGGACGGAATGTCGGACAGAGATTTTGGAATTAACTCCTACCTACACGTTTTAACAGGAATTTATCCGATTATTTCCCTTACTATATGCCAGCGTAATGCAAGTTGTCGCATTGGCGTTTATTGATACATTTTTACTTTCTCGTATATACGAAGTATAGAGAAAGTATTGTAATCGTGCAAAAAAAATCGAGATTTTTGCAAATCTCGACGTTTTAGTGCTCCCTGAGTCGGAAAATCATAGTTTTGCAATCTTGTCCGTATGTATGTGTGTGTGTATGTGTGTGTGTGTGTGTGTGTGTGTAAACACGATAACTTGAGTACCGTTACAGCTAGGTTGATGAAATCTCATATATAAGTATTATATCAAAATCGTAGATTACTGGAAGTGGAACTTTTTCTACTTTGAATTTTTCAAAAGCATATAACTTGAGTACTATTTTAGATAGATAAATGAAATTTCAATTTAAGTAAAAGATCTAATTTTCTGCCTTCTGTCAAATTTTGAGTAATTTCCGTTGACTGGAAGTAGTTATCTTCACTATTTCAGATTTCTCAGAAAACGCATGTGCATTTATAAATACTAATAATATTTCGCACTATTATATACATCTTTATTCGCTTGGTGCGCAGTTCTTTTTTCTATGAGATTTTATTCTATTTTAAAAAGTTTAAGTATTTAAAAAGGATTAAAAATCATAACTATATCCCGAGTTCCCATCCCCTGTTGTTTTATATAAGAATATTCGAGAAAGTTTAGGGGAGATCACTCCCGGTTTATTTCTTACATATTTCAATAGTTATATTATGGCAAAATAACAGAAAGCTTTCATAAAAAATTTTAATATATTTCAAAGTTCAAATTTAATCTTAGCATTGTCTTTATTTTTTTATCTGCAGTTTTCATCTTCATATAATTGTATTTTCATATATTTTCAAGACAAGTGGTAGCAACATACACATTTAAACAGTGTCATCTTTATCAATAGGATGTAGTTTGTAGTTGTACATAAAACTTTTTTAGTCATTTGTTTGTTACAGAGTGACGATTTAGCCTAAGTATTATTGTTTATTATTTATGTTTTCGGTTGTTTTTATGCTCTAACTAAATTTACTATAATATCTTACTTGTATGTTATTGTCTAGTATTTCAATACTTTTATAATATGTCATAGTATGCGGTAAACTGCAGGTTGCACAATATATACTAGCCCATTTGTATGTGAATGTTGTGTTACGTTTTGTTTTTGCTTTTTTTTTTTTACTTTCTTATTTTCTAAAATATTGCAGTTGAATTTTCAACAAAGATTCTTATGAACTATGTTAGTACATTCGTGTGGATTCCAGCAAATTAAATCTAAATTATATTTAGTATAATCAAGAAATCTAGAAGGCTAATTGTTAATAGTACCAAGTCACAAATGTTTACAAACATGTTTTTAATTCTAAACGTTTTTTTATTTGTTATTTTATCTGCAAAACTTTATTTTAGACGACCATATTTGATTAATAATTGATTACTGGTAATTTAATTCTTATTTGGTATTTAATTATCAGTTTTTAGTTATTAGTATTTTACTTAATATTAGTATTTAACAGTACAAACATTTTCCATTCCTTTTCGACAAAATTTATTTAAACTATTTTTCGTTTTTTCAGTGACCAATCCTTATTATGGATAAAGCCTTCATTGAAATGTCTACAAATAAAAATCTCTTCTTAAGGTGAAAGGTAGGAAACTGGTGTTTGACCTATCGGACAAACTTTAACATATTGCCTAAAAATGGATTTGAATTTCGACAAGCTGCAGCTATTTTAAATCTTTGGTCACAATGTAACGATGGGATGAGGTATTAAAACAGCAAAGCGGGTGATTCATTTCCCAAAAATTTGAAGTTCTTCAACTGAATACGTAGGGCATCCCGGAGCAAACTCATCTATATTTGGTACCTGACTCAAGTTAGGGAAAGTAAATACGGCTGAGCATAACATTTACTAACTTTTCAACATGTCGTAATCAAATAAACAGATGAACTCTACTTCATCCGCCCTAATGAGCTTCAAATTTGATGGTCGAAATTTTTTTGGAATGATATAATGTATCAATAAGTTGCGAAATAAAACAATGAACTGTATTTGCAATCTGCGATCTGATCGGATTTAAGAATTACTAGGTTTGTTGCATAACCAAAAACTATTGTGCGCCAAATAAACATAGAAATGCGTGTACAATTGCGCAGTAAATTGAACTCCAATTTCGATCCATGACGACAGAAAGACAGACAGAGTAAGCAGGTTAAATAAAACTTGTAAATACAAATGCATCAAAAAGTTTTATAACAAGCGAAGGAGCATAAATTTGTCTTGGTCACTGTTGGATCTAACTTCAAAGCTCA